ATAGTGTGTAGATGATTCTTAAAATTAAAATAAAGAAAAATAAAAGTTGTACATTTATAATCTGTTACAAACAAGACAGCAAGCCCCAAATGAAGTCACTTATGCTCAGCTCCACATTGCTGAACTGAGCTTTAATTACAATTTCAGCTCTCTCAGAAGTGGAATCTGAAACCAGTCGGTCAGGAATCACCCGGTTACCGGTCTGAAGTCTGTGTGCTTGATGCTTAAAAAGGCCAAAACTCAAAACGTCAGAGTTAGAGAAAGGAAAGGTTTATTGACTGAGAAGGTGCCAACTGAGAAGACAGGAGCTTCAGTGGCATCTCACATCCATCTTACCAAAGTACAGAGTTCAGGCTTCCTTTGTGTCAAAGGAAGGGGAATGGAAGGGGATGTTTTTGTAAAACTCAAGCTGCAAGCGGAATTCCCCTAATGATTAGAAGCTCTGAGCCTGAAGGCCACCGGGGCAAAGCAGGCCTGGACACAATGGAGTCCAACGGAGACCCAGCGCTTCACTCTGTTACCCCCTGATGAGCACTTAGCTAACTGCCTGATAGGCCCTGACCATCCCTTAAAAGAAAGTAACCTTGCAATAACCAATCTACTTCTTTTTGGCTAGTATAACGTCCTTGTTCCCACTCCTTGTTGCCTATAAAAGTCTTTCATTTTGTAGAGATCCTCAGCGCTCCTTTCTGTCTGCTAGCTTGGATGCCGCTTGATTCGAATCAAGTTTTCCTCAAATAAACTCACAGTTCTTAATATGCCCCAGTTTGTCTTTGACCAAATCTCACCATCCAGAGATAACCACAGTTAACCACACACACGAGAAAATTTAATGTACAATACTCCAAACTGTGTTCTATGCATCGACATACTGTAGCCATACTACATGTACTGTTTTATAATCTCTTATTTTTTTTAACATTTTTATTGTAGTTCTCCCCATTACCATAACCCCCTTATACGATCCTCCCCCCATATTTGCCACACTGTTGTCCATGTCTATGAGTTCTTTTACTTTCTTGCTTGATCCCTCTATGCCCTCAACTACTCACCCCTCTTAGCTTTCAACCTGCTTTCCATCTATGAATCCGTCTCTGTTTTGCTTGTGAGCTCAGTTTGTTCATTAGATTCCATATATGAGTGAAATCATCTGGTATTTGTATTTCTTTGAATGTTTTATTTCACTTAGCATAATGCTCTTATTTTCACTTTACAGTGTAACATGGACATTTCCATACCAATGAATACAGAAAAAATTTACATGACTGCTTTATATGAACAGCACTGTAGTGTATTTCAGAAAGGTATTATGTCTTGAATGATAAAACTAACCAAATTCAATGATTGCAGCAGCTAAAAAGAGGTCTGGCTTTACTTCCTTCCAAATAATGGAATTAGCATAATTTGACTGAAACTCTGGCATAATTAATCCAGATGCTTGATTACTGTTTGGATTCAGCCTTGTTTTCAGAAGAAAGACTTCTGTCTCTTCCCGACAAAATCCCCACCTCTGACTACTAGTAGAGCTGTGTTCTTAAATCTTAGTTGTTTTTGTAAAGTTGGCTTTGGAAAGGCTGTCTTGTCTTCTAATTCTAGTTCCATAATTTACTAGTGTTGTAAAGTTAACTCTCTGAACCTCAGTTTCCTCATTGTAAAACTGGGTTAATAATAACTAACTACGTCATAGATTTGTTGTATTATAAGATGGTATATACTATGCTTTATAAATTGTAATTATTATTCAAATTATTGCAAATACTTTGTCTCCCTCCAAAACTCCTAATAAAAAGATTTGACTCAGAAATATTTACTATTTATTTGCACTCAGTCTCTACTTGAAGCATACTTTTCACCAAATCAATACTAAATAGACTTGGAATCACAACCAGTGAAACTAAAGTCTTTTTTTCTTTAAAGATTTTATCTATTTATTTTTTTAGAGAGAGGGAAAGAGAGACAGAAAAAGAGAGAGAGAAACATTGATGCAAGAGAGAAACATCAACTGGTTGCCTTTTGTTTGCACGCCAACTAGAGACTGAACCTGCAATCCAGGCATGTGCCCTGACTGGGAATTGAAACAGCGACCTTTTGCTTTGTAGGACGATGCCCAACCAACTAAGCCACACTGGTCAGGGCTAGACCGAAGTCTTAACAAATACTCCCCCTTCCCCAAAATCAAGGAGGATTATAGAACTAACAATAAAAGAGGAAATGGAAAGGAAATAGAAAACATAGGTGAATATCTGATTTCAGGGTGTAAAATGTATTTCTAAGCATAAATCAGGGAAAGATGAAATGGAAAGAAGTTGATAAATTTATCACTTAGAAATTTTAAGTTTCTATATGATTTAAAAAACACACAAAAAAGTTTTGTACAAATCACAGCATTGTAAAATACTTCAAAGACAATGAAAGACAAGATAACCTGGATGGGTGAGCTAAACAGAATACTTCTAATCTTTTTTTATTCCCATTTCATAGTCTTTCACAACTTTTTCTGGTCGTTTGTCTCACGCCCACCATCATAGTAATCTCCAAGAAGAAATTATTCTTAATCACAAAATAAGGCTCTCTTTAGATTGACCTACTTATGTAGCTGTGACAAAAGTGTTAATTTACTATATATTTGCAAATCTAGAGTATTGAACAACTATTGTAGCCTTAATTTTAACTTCTGTTTGAAAGTTTCTATAATAAATGTCAGGTTAGACTTTCAAAAACCTCTATTATTTGCTTTCCCAAGGCTGGGAAATCAAATCCAAGAAACTCTCACCACCAGATTTTCCTGCAGCATTCATGTATGTGAGCGAATTTCAAGGTCCTAAAATTTCTTCTGGAGTCCTGGAAATCCTGACTCATTCTACTGGTGTGCGCTGAGCGTTGTCTAAGTAATGTCAGCTCACTCAGCTATGGACTGTTAGTAGTTTGAAGTTCTTAGTTAATCCTTTTCCAGGAGGCACTGAGACTTTTCTATTTTGAAGGCACAAACTCTGGTCTTTAACATGTAGTAGAACCTTCAAGCAAATGTTACAATAAAACAAAAACTATGTGTAGGGGATAGAGACTTCAAATGGCTGTGGTTAGTTTTGAGAACTTCCAAATGTGAAAGGTCTGTTGAAAGTTCACATTAAGGGCAGGCAACTGACAAAATGTGGTTGTTCCTATGGCGTGCAAAACAAAGATCATAAAGCCATTGCATGAAATTAGACAAATGTCTCCAAGGATAGTGATGGAGCTTATTCTCAAAGGAATCAGTAAAAGTTACACCTGATTTGTAAAAGTGAATGAACATAATTTATATAGAGGGAGAGCCTCGAATATAACATAATAAGCTATTGTGTGTGTTTGTGTATATATGTAAATACATATAGGGTGGGGCAAAACTAGTTTATAGTTGTTCATATGGAAAATAATACAATGGTAAATAATGCTACAGGTTAAGCTGTGTTTTGCACACTCATGACTGTAAACCTACTTTTGCCCCACCCTGATAGATACGTATATATAATGTGGCAGGAATATACCAACTATAAACCAAGAATAGCAAGTAAAGAGATTCAGTAAGTTTGAAATAGGCCTAGATATCTGTATTTTTTACAAACTGTGCTGGTGAGACTGATATAATCGCCTGCTAAAAATTTACTGGTCTAGAACATGGTAAGTGCAAATTAAAAATAAGGCCATCACCAAGTAAACATTTTGTGTAATAGCTGAAATTATGACTGATAATAATCTGCTATTGCCTAATATGATCAGGCCAAGCACCACCAAAACTCTGATAAACACATACCACGGACAGATGGGCACTGACAACTCCCAGAGACTTCTTGTAAAACATAACGTTGCTGAAATGTTTACACTATGTTGCCTATGCAAAGCTATCCTAAGGAAGGCTGAGCATCTCTTGTGACTGGACAACTCTTCCCATGAAATTTATAATAGTAAATAGACCAAATAAACCCAATTGCTTTAAGCACTTCTCTTTTTATAAGGTAAAAGAACAAATCTTTGTGATTTTCTTTCAGGGGTCCCCTGGAAAAAGTATTTAATTGAGACTTTTCCCCTTTTTACTCAAGAATAGAAAATAGAGCACTTTCAAGAGAAGAGAAAGCTCTTTATAAGTAGGAAATTTCCAATAATTCAAACCTAGATGTCTGTGTTCCCAGAATCTTTTGGTCTATTCCTATAGTGGAAATTGTCTCCTGCATAGAAAAATCCTAGTTTAAGCCCAATTAATCATATTTTTTTTAGACCTTTTAAAAAAATATTTTTTTTTCAAAATGGAAATGAAGTGGGGAAGAATATCCTCACCCAAGTATATGTTTATTGATTTTACAGAGAGGGGAAAGAAGGGAGAGAAAGAGGGAGAGAAACATCAGTGTGAGACAGAAACATCACTCAGCTGCCTCCCATGGGGATTGAACTGCTACCTAGATTTGTGTCCTGGCAGAATTGAACCCACAACCTTTGGTGCACGGGATGATGCTCCAACCAACTGGGCCACCCAGTCAGGGTGGGGAGGGATATAGTTTAAAGATTTTATTTATTTTTAGAGAGAGGGGAAGGGAGGAAGAAAGGGAGAGAAACATCAATGTGTGGGAGAAACACCCATCAGTTGCCTCTCACATGCCCGCAACTGGGGACCTGGGAATCAAACTGGCAGTCTTTTGGTTTGCAGGCCGGCACTCCATCCACTGAGCCACGCCAGCCAGGGCAAGGGGAGAGAGAGATTTTTAACAAACAAAAACTATTACTATTTATTTAGCAATCTTATAGTGTAAATAGTGCCTTGGGTTCTGCTGCTGAGTACAATTTTTATTAACGACTAAAACAAATAGAGGAGGAAACAGGAAACCTAACAACGAGAAGAGGAAAGGTTTACCGGGAAAAATAAAAAGAAAGAACGCAGTTTAAACTTGCTCTAAGCTTTGAGGAATTTCTTATCCCAGAAAACATAAGCAGTTTATATTGGTCTTCAGTCAACTCAGTTTTTTTTTCAGATTGATGATTACCCAGAATGTTTGATTCCACAAGACGGAGACAGCAACTACCACATTCGTATCATCTATTCAACTGTTTTGAAAAAAGAGTGTGAAAGGAGACAGCAACTACCACATTCGTATCATCTATTATTCAACTGTTTTGAAAAAAGAGTGTGAAAAGTCAAAAGGTGTCAGGAAATTTTTGTTAGCATTTCATCACACCAATGCTAACAACAAACACGGTATGTAATATACTTCTTAAAGTAACACAAGAAAAGATGCATTTCTTTATGAGACGAAAAACATAATGTTCTTTTTCCTCCCCAGTTTTACTGAAGTATGATTGACAAATATCGTATATATTTAAGGTATACAGTGTGATGTTTTGGTAAATATATACATTGTTAAATAATTACCACAATCAGGCTAATCAAGATAGCCATTTCCTCACATAGTTGTGTGTGTGTGTGTGTGTGTGTGTGTGTGTGTGTGTGTGTGTGTTTGGTGAGAACACTTGAGATCTACTTACTTTGCAAATTTCCAGTATATGGTATAATACATTATTATTAACTACCGTCGTCATGCCAGGCAGTTTGGTCTCCCATAACTGAAAGTTTATTCCCTTTGATCAACATCTACCATTTTTCTGAACCCCCAAGTCCCTGGTAACCATCATTCTATTCTCTGTTACTCTAAATTTGCCTTTTTAAGATTCTACATAGGTAAGATTATGCTCTATTTGTCTTTTTCTGTGCTTGGTTTATTTCACTTAGCATGTCTTTCAGGTTCATCCATGTTGTCACAAATGGCAGGCTCCCTTCTTTTTTAAGGCTGAATAATATTGCATTTTATGTGTGTGTGCCTTTTCTTTATCCACTCATCTGTTGCTGGACACTTAGGTTGTTTCTGTGTCTTGGCTACTGTAAATAATACTGCTATGAATATGGGAGTGCAGATGTCTCTTTGAGACAGTGATTTTAGAGTCCTCCTTCCCAACGTGGCGCAGTCAGTCAACATCACCGAGCTGAATCAGTGCAGCTGGAAATGTTCAATAACCAGCTGGACCAGAAAGTGGAGTTCTTGTCCACATCCTTTGTCCAGCTCAAGGTTGTACATACCAAGGATGTGGAAGCAAAGGACTGTCTGAATGTGCTGAACAAGAGCAATGAGGGGGAAGAATTACTTGTCCCATTGACAAGTTCTGTGTGTATCCCTGGGAAGCAATGTGATGGGGAACACATGCTCATCAATGTGGGAACTGGCCACTATGTAGAGAAGACAGCTGAGGATGCCAAGGACTCCTTGAAGAGGAAAATAGACTTCCTCACCAAACAGACTTCCTCATTTTCTCCAGCCAGCCCTGCAAGAGAAGCATGTCATGAAACAGGCTGTCACAGAGATGATGAGCCAGAATATTGAGTAGCTCACAGCCTTGGGGCCAACTCAGGCTGCCAAGGCCTAAAATCTTGTTCTAGAAATCGGGCAAAGGGACCCTACCTCAGGGGCCTGGGACTTTGGGGTGGGGGAAAGAAGGGTTTTGTGTGTAATGCCAATAAATGTTCCAAGTGGACAAAAAAATAAAATAAAAAGAGATAGAGATTTTATTTCCTTTGCATATACAGAAGTGGGATTGCTGAATTATACGGTAATTTTATTTTAATTTTTTAAGGGACCTCCATACCGGTTTCCAGGATGTCTGTACATTCCCACCACCAGGGCACATCCTTGCCAACACTTATCTTTTGTCTTTCTCATAACACAAAGTCATCCTAACAGGTGTGACATGATATTTCATTGTATCTTTGATTTATGATTCCCTGATAGTTAGACACATTGAGAAGATAGTTGTCCTTACAGTGAGGATGAGTTGACCAACCCATTATCAGCAGCATAGTGCCAGGGCGTAGTTTGCCACGAATAAGGATATGTGGAAAGGAAGGAAAGAAAGAAAAGAATGGCAATAAATGAGGGAGGGAGGGAAGGAGGGGTGGGAAAGAAAAGAAAAAGGCAGAAAAAAGAGTGTTCACTAAATATTGGTTTTAAAAAAATGAGTTAGAATCTGGATTCCATTTGATCAGTTCTTGTTTGATTTTAATAATCTTATTAACACCACAGATTTTAACAACAAACCCTAGTGAAGAAGTGCAGGACGTAACCAGAAAGACTGTGACCCTGGCTTAGGGAAAACTGGTAGTTATTGCTGTGAACCTTCTCACCAGCAAAGGAAGCCACCAGATCCTGCCCTGACAGTTATGGCTTATAATGGTTATTAACAGTATTCACTCAAAAATATTTGTTGCGAATCTCTTCACCCAAGAATGGTGATACATACCTACATAAAAAGATTTGAAAAACCACCTTTAGATTTTGTCTTTAGGGAGCTCCACAACTGATACAGGTGATTTTTCCCACTGCACCTAAGGAGCTGGAAAACCATAGGGGAGTGGGGAGAAGTTAGGGCTCCCGGCGCTCACCTGGCTCAACCGAAGCCGCCCTGCGTTTATGTTTCACATTTTGGGCTTTACCTAAATGTTTCCTGTGAATTAGTTTTTAAAATGGAAAGATGAATGGATAAAAATAAAAGAGTATACAATTCAACATTATACTGTTTACGTTCATGGTCATCTACTAAGTATATTTATATGAAAGGTACATGTTTATAAAGGAACCCTTTAAGATATTGCTCCTTATAACTGGTTGTTGGTAAAAAGCAGAGAAAAAGAACGTGGACTTTGGTTTCAGCTGAGTCCAGATTTGAAACCTGGCGCTCACCTTTCCTGGCTGTGTGACCTTCGGCAAGTCACTTAAACTTTGTGGGCCTCAGTTTCCTCACCTTTGCTGTTATCTTCGAAGGGTCTATGCATTCCATGAAATAAGGTAGGCAGGGCTGGGCATGCAGTAGGAAAGCAGTTAAGATCTCATCTGTAGTGAAGAAGGAGGAGGGAAGAATAAGGCCGAAGGTGGCTCCTGGATATAGGCCCTTCCGTTTCTGGCCTCTACCCGGTGGCAGCTAGACCATCACACACCAGCCCATTTTCTCTTCACTAGACTTCACTCCAAGTCCAACTCAGAGTCTCTTCGAGTACTGAATAGGTACAAAGTGTGGGAAACTGTCCAGAGTTTGCACACTCTCATGGATGAGCACTTTTCCACGCTGACGCTCTGTGGCGTGGCAACTCTTTGTAGAATGAGTTGTAATTAGCAGACTTATTAAGTCCCTAGGTGCTCATCAGGTCTCTGGTCACACTAATTAGGATATCTAACTGGTGTTGGTTGCCTTAAATGCATATTTATCCTTGTCCACAAGCAAAATTATTCTTGGCGTCTTTTCCTCCCAATGTATATAAGAAGACAAAAACACAGATTAAGCCAACTTTAGGTAGAAATTTTGTGAAATTTAAATTCCTAGAAACTTTGCAAATTATGTTAAAACCAGTGTAGAACTTTTTAAAAAAAGCTTATTGGGTGCTCATGTACATGGCTATTCCTAGAATCACACCTCTCCCCACCCGATTTTTACTTTCATCTCTGAGGGCACTTGTCTGGCCCTTTTACATAAAGACTTCTGAAAACACAAAACTGCCACTGTTACAAAGAGTCATACACAGCACACATGAGAGGATAAAACACATCCCGCCTTTCCGACATGCCAGCGGTGACATGCTAGCGGTGACATGCTGTGTGTTTCCTGTTCTCCTCCAAGTCGCCTGCTCCCTGGACTAGTTATTGCTGTGTACAAAGGACCACGGCAGCTTGTTAGACATTCGGTAATGCGCGGTCCTGAAGCAAGAGGTAGGCTCAAACCTGTCTGACCATCCATTTGACAATAGTCATTACTAACATTAAAGATGATGTCATGCCTACAGAAGCAGCACATATTAGCTACTGAGTATTTAAATGAAGATAATTAGTAGGACTGACTCCAAATCTCTTGGGTAAAAGCCTAGGGCATATTTGTGTCGTATGGCAAAAGTGCTTACACTCCAAATAACTGGATCATCTGCTCAAAATCACAAATAATTTATAATAAAAATTCTTAGTTTCATGATTACACTTTTAACAGGATTCCTAATTAGGCCCAAATCTTGTGGAGAAAAAAAGGCTTTTCTCAGTAGCATGCACATGTGCTTATGTGGGCCACAGTTAACACTTTAAATTGTGCTTTTTATGTTTAGATGAAAGAAGATGATAATTAAATTCTAAATAAATAGTGTGGGAGCAGAGTGGCAGTGGTGAACTGTATTGGTAGCTAAAACTCTAGAATGAATCGGGTTATTAACCCCTTAGTTTCAGATACATTCTAGAACAGCACTATCTAATAGGACTTTCTGCAGTGATGGAATTGTTCTATACATATCTAGTCAAATTATATTTAATATACAGTAGCAGTCAGTTACCTCTGGCCCTTGAACATGAGATGTGGCTAGTGTTAGTAACTAAATTTTAATTGTTAAATTTAAATTTAAATAGCCACATTTAAATAGCCACATTTGGTAGGCTAGTGACTACCAAATGGATTACTGCAGCTCTAGAATCATAAAAAAAAGACCTTAAAGGCTTTAGTGGCACATTTGGAAAACTTGCCATGAAGTGAAATAGACTAATCCTCAAACCAGAATGAAGTATAATAATTTAATGAAATGTAAACTGAATCAAAGTTTGTTTGTGTGTGCGTGCATGCGGGAGTGTGTGTGTATAATTTTTATTTTAAACCAAAAACATAGACATTTTCCAAAACCACTGATGTGAGGGTAAAACTAAAACAATAAGGCACTGATAAGTCTCTCAGGTTTAGTGGATAATTTTTACATAAGCTTGGTACTCTTCCCCACAGAGATAGGATTTAAAATATACAATCGAACCTCTGGCAGTTAAGAAAGCTGATGCATTCTTTTTGTAGTGTCACTTCTGAAAGTGTTTCTCAGCTGGCTAGCACTACTGAACATGCCATCAGTTACACATTGTGTTAAATGGTTGAAGGACTTCAAATGTATGTTACTGAAGAAGAGTGTACACTGCTGTGTGCACGCTAGGGAATGCACTGGCAGATAACTCTGTTACACATTTTCTGTATGCAGGCTCTCTTGTCACTGTTGCCTTATACCTGCTAGCTTCTGGTTATTGGCACCCAGGAGACCAGACATTCCAACTAACTAGATACAGACCTCAAGCCATACTGCATTTCTCAGTGGAGCACACAGATGAACCTAAGAGTCTCCATGCCATTGTTACAAATAAAAATTTAAAGTTATCACAAAGAGGCAGAAACATTGACACTACACTTGTTTTGTCACGACCTCTTAATGACCTCACACAAAAAAGAGCAAGTTCAAGTTGGTTAGTGACCTTGGATGAGAGGAGGTTTGAGACAAACCTAGGTCCAGCATGTTGTTTACGTAACACTGCTTCCAGGGAGGCCTCGGCAATCTCTCCCTGCTTTCCAGCACCGCATCATCAGTGATGTGCTCTGTGTTGCTAGTTCCCCTCTAAGCAGCTTGTTCCCTGGGTTAGGTATTGCTGTTTACCCAGGACCCCTGTGGTTCATATCCTAGAAATTCTGTAATAGGTGGTCCTGAAGCAAGAGATAGTCTCAAACCTGTCTGACCTCTGGGCCACATGTGCTATGTCCTACTTAATTCCAGCATTAATCTAAGGCATAAAGTCTATCATATCGAGTACCTGTATTTGTGAAATGCTTACTATTAGAAGTGTCTTTGATGACTGGGATCTTAAACACTAATGTATCAGTAAAAGTTCTTAGCTTGCAAGTAGAAAAACAAACCTGATTCTGCCCATCTTAATGCCAAAGGGAATTCATTGGAAGGATTTTGAAATCTCTTAGCAAATCAAAAGGGGAACAAAAGAGCCAAACAGTGGAAAACCAGCAATCAGGGGCCTGTTCTAGAGCCTGCAGGGGACCTTCTAGGGCCCAGGCAGCTTCAAAGACTCCTAGCTCTGCCTCTCAGGTCCAAATATCATGAGTCTAGGGTGAGACACGGATCGGCCTGATTTGGGTCACCAGTGCACCGCTAGACCTTTCGTCTACGGCTGGGGCAGGGGTGGGGGTGGCTCCAGGTTTTGTGGGGACTAAATCTCGTTAAATTTGCAGAGCCCTCTTTAAGGAAAAGAGTTAAAACACCACACTCAATGACTGCAGCACTTCAAAGAAGTCTGGGCAGAAGAAGTCACAAATATCAAGTGCCCATGTTCACTCCCCAAGAGGGGAAGTGAAACCAAAGGAAAATTGAAGTGGGAAGAGCCTGTGGTCTTAAATGACTGTGGTTGAAATGTCTTTCCTTTGCATATTTTATAAGAACATCCGACCATGTAAACACATGGTTAGGTCTGCTCCTAGGACTGGAAGGAACTCGTGCAAGTTAGGGGCACTGAAACTGAATCATCATTAGTTTCATGTAAGGAGTAGTCTCTTTTTTAAAGATGGGGGCCTCTCTGGTAACTGTAGGAAGAGACAGTTCCTCAAAAAAGGAAGGTGCTAGGAAGACAAAATGACAGATGACCACTACACCTTGACCCTTCCAACAGTCACCACCTGCAGCTGCAGCTTCCTGAAGGACACTTTTTATACATCCTGAGACCTTTTGCCTCAAATCCCCAGGTGGTTCTCAATTCTGAAGAGCTATGCCAGACATCCAGGGGGCTGTGCTGACCCTCTTAGGCCTAGACCAGTGCAAGCCGTCATGGCCTGCACCCTCTGCCTTTCTGTAGATGCCCTCCCGTCTGATATCACCTTTGGTCCTCCAGGGTGAGAGGGTTCTTTCTCCCCCGCACAGAAGTGCCTTGAGCTTCTCTTGGACCCACAGGAGTGAGAGACAAGAGTTACACAGAACAGTTCAAAAAGGAATGGGTCAAACTAGTACACTTAAGATTTTGCATTAGACACTTATTAGGTACTATTAGATTGTTTATTACATACTTATTACATACCATTTTTTAATCCCTCCAAATAAACAAACAAAATGCATACATAATGGGAGGAACTGACAGTTTTCTTGATGTAAATCATGATTGATTCTTTGAGCTTTATTTTAAAAAAATTTTAATTGTATTTTTCCCATTACCATTTACCTCCCTTCTACCCTCTTCCACCTCCGCCCACCTCCTCCCCCAGCAATCACCTCACTGTTCTCCATGAGTCCTTTTTCTTTTCTGCTTGATCCCTCCACCCCCTAAATGCCCAACCCGGCTCCAAGAGCTGTCAGCCTGCTCTCTGTGAGTTGAGTTTTACTTTAAATTCAGCTAATGTTTATCACATAATTACTCTGCCAGGTATCCCCAGTCGTGTTTAAACACATTATCTCATTTTCATTCACAGAATTACCATCCTCATTTCCACTGAATACACTGAGACCAGAGCAATAAAGTAACTTGTAAAGTGTACTGAACTTGAATTCACATGCTTTAATGTCAAAGCCAAAGATTTTTTTTTGTTATATCATGCTGCCCAGCTTATAATTTTGTACTTGTAAGTTTTTGTGAGAGTTTATATATACCCATCAAATCAGTACATGTGACTACATCTTCATACTAATGAATTAATTGTAATTAAAATGTAATTAATGCAATTAATTGTAATTGAAATATAATTAATGACCAAGTAACTTTTTTCTTTTTTCCTTTTAGTCAAGGAAGAGAACAATGGCTCTTTCTTTTGGAGAGGCAAAGAGCCTAAAAGTCTGGATGAATCCTCTCTCAGGAGAGATGGTTGTTTGGAGTATGTTTTTAACTTGCTAATGAAAACTTATTTTACATTTCATTTTGTTCATTTTTTTTAACACTTTTTCTTCTCTAATAGCTGTGGACTAAATTCTGTTTTTCTCATTATATGTAACAATGAAGAAGGTGTTTTGAAAGAACTTGCTTTCAATTCAAATCCAGTTAGTTAAATAGTAAAGTTATAATTTTTCTCATTTCAACTGAATATATAAATGTCACAAAATAATTGATTAAAATTAAATTAAAAAACATTTATTGAGCTCTGGTTCTGTTGATGAATAAGAAGGTAAGTAAAGCATAGTCCCTGTCTTTGACAAGCTGATTCTAATCAGGATACAAGATATTTGCATAAATAAAGATAACACAAAGTATACATACTATATGTCATGAATGAGTTTGAGCGAATTGTCAAAGAAATTTGAGCGAATTGTTAAGAGAGGAAGGTTTATATTCAGTTCTGGGAAGAAGTCAAGATGCCAGATGACGGTGAAGCACACAGCAAATAGAGATGGAGAGACTAGTAGAAGCTAAGAATGAGGCAGGAAAAAAAATGGAATATGTATCAGGAAAGGTAAGCAGACTAATGTGATTTAAAAATACAACATGATTACTAGATATAAAATTAGAAAGTAAAATTGGGCCCATATTTTGGAGGGTCTTAAAAATCCAGATGAAAGTTTTAGGTGTCATTTCATAGGATATGAGAACAACTATTGGAAGTTTTGAGCAGAATAAGATGATAAAAATCACTATTACAGGAAATAATCTGACAGTTGTGCTTAAAATGGATCGAAGCACGGAGAGACCAAAGATTGTTGGGAAGTAATGGGAATCGGAATTGGGTTAGTGGTAGTGGAAATAAAGAAAAAGGGAATAGATGGCAGAGATATTTCAGAGGTAGAATCTATAAGACTGCAATTGATTAAACATGAGAAAGATGGAGGGAGAAACCACTGTGGTTTCAAGCTGAGGTGACTGCAAGGTGATGCCTTTCAGAAAGTAAGGATGTCAGGAGGGATCAAATCCAGTGCTGGTTTAAACAGGTTAAGTGTGAGGTCCTCATCTGGTGGAGAAGTTCATCTGGCAGCTAAAATTTAAGTCTGTACGATGGGAAAGAAGTCTAAGTATAAATTTAAAAAGGAGTTTCCTGAGCTTCATAACTCAAACTAGGATTCTATTATGCACTTTAAGTATCTAGACATTAGGAGGAGGAGGGGAGCATGGGATTGTAAGAGCTGTGAGTCAAGCGGCACACAGGCATGGGGAAATTAACGTGGGTTGGGCCTTGAAAGACAGGTCACAGCACGGGGGAAAGAGCCAAGTTAGGAAGACATTGCAAAATGCCGTACAGGACAAGTGAACTCCAGCCGGGGAGCTTCACAGCCCCATGGCGCGCCACGCTGTGCACTGCCCTGGGCTGCCCAGAAGGGGCCTTTGACCAACGCACTTTCTCTGTTGCTCTCACCTTCTCGCTGTTTTATCAAGATGATCTGCAAGGTCTCTTCTAAACCTAAATTTCATTATTATAACATCCTTTCTCACCAAAAAGTATTTTTGGGTTTAGGAAGATTGTTTTTGCTACTGGGAACACATCACCGGGAGATGCTTTACAGAATTTTAACTTTACAACCAACTATTCTGGACAAGATAGGTTACACGAACTAATTTTTTAAAAGGTTTTTAGAGTTTAAGGAATTAGCTTTTAAAAATGGTCTCTGTGTTACTGTCTGGGTTTTCAAGGCTTTGGAGGTCTGATTACATTTGAAGCTGAAACATGGGAAAACACTTACTGGCTGAGACAGGGTTGACTGGTAAGTGTTCTGTTTTGCATTGCAAACCATATACAGCCCAGAATCCACACCAAAGACCCCTCTGTAATGCAGGGACTGGGGAGGGAGCAGCAGCCAGTATAACCGGATTGGTTCCTCTGCGGTTCCTCGATGGGGTGCTATTGGCGTTCTGTGTGGGGCTATTCCTTGTGGTGAAGAACAGTCCCGCACACTTTGGCACTTGAAATTCTCTGGCTGTTGCCCATTAAATGCCAGGAATGCTCCCCATTATTGTGGTAACTAAAACATAGCACCACACGTTTCCAGCAAAACCACCCCTGCTGTTTCAAGGTGACAGCACCCTTGTAAAGTTTCTTTGCAGTTCCCAATCCTGAGCTCTTTCTCCCTTCTCTGTGCAGCCCTCTCTCTTGCCTTCCCTAGTAAGCATCCTTGTTCTCCCTATAAAATTCTGCACTTGGGTTTTTATTGACACCACAGTGTGATAACTTAATAACACAAATTTAAATTGGTCCCCCCTTCCCTGGTATTTCCATTTTAACAGGCGTCAAAGCCAGAAGCTCAAGGAAAGCTCTATTAGTAGAATTTTGTTTTAACAGCTTTTTTTTAAAGGTATAATTCACACACAATAAACTGCAATATTTAAAGTACACAATTCGATACATTTTTTTCATACGTGTACACCAATGAAACCTTCGCATAATCCATCCCTTATCGCCTCCTTCCTGCACCATGGCCTGGAAGCTTTTTAAGTCAGTAAACTGGGGCAATGGTGGTTCTTACCTTTTTCCCACCTCTCAGAACTCAACTCTCTTAAGTTATCTGATGATGTTCAGTGCCTTAAAAGCTGGGGTTTTGTTTTTTTTTCATATATTTTTCTAGTTCTTGGTTGTTTTGGGTGGGAGGTACATCTAGTCCTTGTTATTCCATCTAGGCCTGAAGTAGGTGAAATCTAGTAGAATTTTAAGCTTATACCAGTATATATGGAAAAGGATTTGGACTGGTATCAGATCCTTCCTGGGACCAGTGAGGGCTCCAGAATTTCCATTAAAGATGGTAGCAAAAGGGGCAACCAGGGGACTCATTTACTTAGACTTTTGTATGCTTATTTGGAGTGACTTCAAGCTCTTTTTCCTCTGGTAGGCACAAAGGCACTGTTTCTATGTAGTGTGCATATATATTTATTCGTGGTGGCTTGCTCAGGGTGGGGGTGCGTGGCTGTTATTGGAGCTCCTAGGGAGTGAGAAGCACAAAAGCCCCCTCCCCTGAGCCTCTGCCTTTGGAAGCCTGCTGTTTTAGGCCAATTCAAGCTACCAGCTCCAGCTCCAGATTATGATATGAAGATAACCCTGAGGCTCAGAAGGACTCCAAAGATCAAAGATTCATGTATGTCTACTATGCTGCCTTTTACAAAAAGATAAAACCATAACACTTTTAGAAAACTTTCCTAACCAAGTAAAGTATCCAAAACAAGGTTAGAGTCAATTCAGTAGGAGAGCTCATTTCCCAAGCACTCCTGCTGTTTGAGGTTAGATTGGCTATGGGGCTTGACCTTGCTGGAATAAACCAGAATCTGGAACACAGTTGCTACTTCCGAATGTATTGTTACTGCTTTGAGATTAGTTTGTGCTTTTAGCAGCACGCTGGCTGACTATGTGAGGAGACAACCCAAAACATCTGGAGTTTGGGAATAAAGCCAACCTGAAATAGTGGCAAAAATTCATGTTTTTTTCCAAGCCTGTCCTTGTATCGGAATTTTTCAAGGGCTCATAGAAAGTTCAGACTCCTTAGCTCTACTTTGACTACCAATCCTAAACTTTAGGGATGGGACTCAGTAGTCTGGTTTGGTAGCTCTCTAGATGCTTCTGTTAGCAAGCTACCAAGGTGTGGGAATTCCTGGGCTTGGGAGTTAATTTACTCCTGTATTATTGAGACTCCCGAGTTCTACGCCCACAGTATATCTCTAATCCATCAACTTTTTTCTGTCTCCACTGCCAGTCCCAGTACAAGGCACCGTCCTCTCTCACCTGAGCCTGCAATACTTCTAACTATCCTCCCTGCCTCCATTCTCAGTACCTGCTGTGGTCTGAATGTCTGTGTACCTCCCAGATTCATATGCTGAAAGTCTAATGCACCACAGTAATGGTATTAGGAGGTGCGGCTTCTGGAAGGAGCTCTAATCATGAGTGGCATTAGTGCCTTATAAAAGAGGTTCCTGAGAGAGAACTCACCCCTTCCACCATGTGAGGACACACTGAGAAGACACTGACTACGAACCAGAAGAGGGTCCTCACCAGAAGGCAGCCAGAGTGCCCTGATCTTGGACTTCCCAGCCTCTACAACTATGAGCACTATGTTTTCCATTGTTTATAAGCCTGTGGCGTTTGTTATAGTAGCTCTCACAGGCTAAGACAGTGTCTCTTTGCCTCCTCATGAATCCATTATCTATTTTAAAGCCAAAGTGCTTAAAATCTTTCAAGGGTATCGCACTGCACAGAAAAATAAAACTTTTTACATGTCTAGACAACCCTGCTAGATGTGGCCTAGGCTTACATACATCTCCAGCTACGTCTCGGGTCACTTCACCCCTTGCTCACCACGCTGGCGAGAGCACCTCAAGCTTTTCCCCACTCAGCTCCTTTGCACTTCCTTTCCCCTCTTAACATGGCTCAGCCTTTCTCATCCTTCAGGCTTTAGCTTGAATACCCACAACTCAGAGAGGTCTTACCTGATCATCCAGTCTGTAGCACACTACCCTCCGACGAGTTTTCTTTAGCACTTTCGTGAACTATAATTACATGTTTATTGCCTGTCTTCCCACTAGGATGTAAGCTCCCTGAGGGCAGGGACTTTGGTAGTCTTGTACACTGATGTATTTCTAGTGTTGGCCCAGTTTCTGACACACAGCCAGTGCTCAATATTTGTTCTTGACTCATCATGTTCTTTACAACCTAGCCTGACTTGCATTCTATAGTCTTTGGGGAACATAATTTGATCTAAATCCATGTAATAACAGACCATGTTTTGAAAGGGTTGATGCACTTCATTGTTGTCCTGAGTGCTATAAAGTATTGGCTTCTGCCAGGAAGAGTCTCAGTCTTGCTGTCACAGACCACTAAGTTCCAAACATGGCCTTTGTATCTGGAAATATTGAGATGAAGGCAATGCTAGTGATAGCCATCCACATGCTCTCTGACTCAATATCTTTATT